GACAGTTATTATATTTAAAATAAATGTTTTTTAGAAAAATAATTTAAAAACCAAATCTGCTGAATTCATGGATTCCTCTGAATTCCTCTTTCTTCTCAACTGGTGGTAACGTAATTTTTTTTTCCTCCACATTCCTCAAATCCTCTACATTCCCCAATTCCTCCACTACCATTTAGGGCCAATATAGACAAGATACATGAAACAAAACTTTAAAATTCGACTAGAATAACTGTCCAAAGAAATTTACAAAAAATAACCAAGTCTGAGACTAATCAAAAGAACAAAAGAAGAAGCAAATCTTCCATGAAACACAACACTCAACGAGAATCGAAATCCAAACAACCTAATTCTTGGTCTTCTTCTTCATTTAGTAATTGACCATGGTTACTGCTTCAAGCAATATCCCTGAAGATGCACATTTCCTACTATTTGCATTAAAGAAGAACCCGAAAGTGCTTCGAATTATGATAATTCAGTGGTGCTAAAGTGACAAATTATAGAAGCCTAGACAAATGGGTTCCTAAAGTTAGTGAATCACTGGTTCTCAAGCTCAAATCATTTGAAAAACTAAGCAAAGGCAAAAACTTAAGTAGTGAGATTGTTAAGACTAAGCAAAGAATACCGTGATGGACCTACGCAGATTATAAGAACCATAAAAGAACGAAATCCACTGAAGAAATATAAAGATAATTTCACCAAAATCAAACCGCGTTAACAACAACCCATTTGAACCATTGTTAAAATCAAACCGCGTGAAGTAAGAGAGCTAATAACCATCAGGACCAAAATTGTTCTGATGATTCGATTCAATAACCCAATTAAATGCAAATAATTTCCATTTTTTTTTTATAAACCCACAAATAATAATCTCAAATGTCAAATTTTGGAGAAGACCCAAATGATTTCAAATACGAGAAAACAAATATAAACCCAGAAAATTAAAAAATGAAACTAATCACGAATTGAAACTAATGAGGATTGTAATTTTAAAGAGTCTAAAGTTAAAAAAAAAATTCTTACCATCCCTCTTTAATCTAGCCATCCCTCAACTCTTTTTCTCTCAACTCTACCCCTCTTTTTTATTATTATTATACACACACATC